CCTGCCTCAGCCTCCAGAGTAGCTGGGATTAGAGGCACGCGCCACCACACCCAGCTAATTTTTGTATTTTTAGTAGAGATGGGGTTTCACCATGCTGGCCAGGCTGGTCTCGAGCTCCTGACCTCAAGTGATCCACTCGACTCGGCCTCCCAAAGTGCTGGGATTACAGGCGTGAGCCACCATGCCTGGCCACCAGTCACTTTTGATCTAATACAGCTGTCAGGTTTTTTGTTTGTTTGTTTGTTTTTTGAGACAGGGGCTCACTTTGTTGCCCAGGCTGAAATGCACCACCACACCTGGCTGATTTTTGTATTTTTTGTAGAGACAGGATTTCACCATGTTGTCCAGGCTGTTCTCAAACTCCTGGGCTTGAGCAATCCTGATTTTTTTTTTTTTTTTTATAAGAGTGGAAATATTTTACTTTTTAAAATTTTATGTTTCCTCATATTCTCTAAGAAGCAAATTCTTTTTAAAATAAAATATTTTTTTCTTCACTTCATATTTACAGAGTATTCAACAGGATTATACCACGATACTTTCCTGTTTAATTCAAACCTTTCCAAACCAACTGGAATTCAAAGACTTGGTACAGCTTACTCATTACCATGACCCAGAAATGGACTTTTTTGAGAACATGAAGCACATTCAGGTAGAAGACAATTCTGCTTTTCCTACCTATGAAATACTTCAAACAGTTCTGCCTCATTTGGAAAGACGTGTTTTAACTTTCCGAAAAGGTTTAAGCTTCTCTTTCCTTAGCCTTTATGATCATCATTGAAATTTGTATTAAGATGATCATTTCCTGGATTCTGATTTCTTTGGTGGTATCACCAACCACAGTTAATAATAGTGTCGCTTTTCTCTGCCTTTTCCTAAGAAGCATAAATACTTTGTATTCACTGTTAAACAAATGCTATGGATTCTATCTCTGAAAGCAAATCAAGGCACAGGTGTTTGCTCATGTAACACATAGACTGTGTTTTCTTTTTTTTTTTTTTGCGATGGAGTTTCGCTCTTGTTGCCCAGGCTGGAGTGCAATGGTGCGATCTCAGCTCACTGTATCCTTCGCCTCCAGAGTTCAAGGGATTCTCCTGTCTCATCTTCCCGAGTAGCTGGGATTACAGGCATGTGCCACTATGCCCAGCTAATTTTGTATTTTTAGTGGAGATGGGGTTTCTCCATGTTGGCCAGGCTGATCTCGATCTCCTGACCTCAGGTAATCTGCCCACCTTGGCCTCCCAAATTGCTAGGATTACAGGCATGAGCCACTGCGCCCAGCCACTCCTTTAATCTTTTCATGAAAAGAGAATACGATACTAAAATGGAGCTGTTTGAAGGTGAGATTATTCAGTAACTAATTCATATTTTATCTAACTCATAGATCCACAGAAGAGCAAGAGCCTTGAAGAAACTTGCAAAACAACTAATGGAAGGCAAAGTTGTTCTGTCTTCTAAATCTCTTCAGAATTACATCATGCCTTATGCCATGACTCCAATTTTTGATGAGAAAATGCTCAAGGTAGGTCATTAGATCTAGAAACTGAGGACCCTCTTCCCATACCGTGACACCCTTTGCCAAAATATAGATGGAGTTGGTGGTGTTTATGTTGATGTCACCACCATAATTAGAGGTTTAGTATAGTTCTAAAGCTCTTAGAACTGTGCCTGACACATAGTAAATGCTATCTAAATGATGGCTATTATTTGTGTTTTTTTTCTATTATTAGCTCACAAAGGCCCACCACAAAATATTCTTCCTCCTAGAAATTATCACATTATTAAAATTGCATACTTTTATTTTTGTGTCATAGGACTTAAATCTGGTTAACTACCCTAGTGAGCAGTCATTATTTTCGCAAATGACTTACAAGAAGTGAAATGAAATAGTAGTTATCATTAACACCGTACCAGGTACCAGGCACTATTTCAAGTGCTTCATTCTCACAACAACTCAACCCTCAGGAGTAGGGTAGGGACTATTCTTCAAGTACTATTTTACAGGAGAGCAATCTGAGAAGAAGTGAGGTTACATAACTTTCTCAGAGACGCCCAGAGTCGGAACAGATATTCGAACTTAGGGCTGTTTTAACCTTTATATTATACAGTGCCTAGAATGGTACC